CCTTCCAGGGTGGGGGGCAAGGAGTACAAAATACACACCGCCCCCAAACACAGACCTTGGTGTTTTCGATGCAAGGCGTACGACCACCTGTGTACGGATTCAGATTGTCCCAACAACCCGGGCAAATAAAACAGAGTCACAGGCCGACTCCTACGCGACCCGTTTCAGAGACATCTGTGGAGGATGGTGGACCCAAGGCACGAAGGGTGGGTTTACGAAGAAAGCAAAGGAAGGGAAGGTAAACCAAAGGAATGAAAGTGGGAAAAGTCGGGGGCACTGAACTGGGGAACCAAGCCCCCGGACACATGGACACCACCCGAAGTGGACGGCCCCAAAACCAACCAACAGATGGTCGTTCGACAACACCAACAACCCCAACACAGACGAGGCGAGGGGGAATAAGCAGGAACAACCAAACAGGGGCAGCAACTGCAGCAGCGGCAGCACCAACAGCATCAGCACAGTCTGGAGGAGGGAGAACAAGCAGGTGCAGCACAATCGCAGCAGCTGCAGATCCGACAAAAAGAACCACACCACCACAATTCGGGTATGGGGGAACAGGTAGGCTCATCCCATCAGGATACCTCCAAGAAAGCAAAAAAAATAGTGTACGAAAAAGGACAAACTCACCTGGAATGGAGAGCCAAAACAGCCCAGGAGCTGCAGGATCGTACGGGACCCCATCCCCTACCTGGCCCATCACCACACATTTACTTGCAGGAGGGAGGAGCCCAGGAGCTGCAGGATCGTACGGGGCCCCATCCCCTACCTGGCCCGACACCGCACATTTTTTCGCAGGTTGGAGGAGGAAGGCAAATAGCCAAAGAGGCGGCAGGAGGGAGCAACAGGAAAGTTGAGGGGTTACAACTAGCAGAGGGACTGAGGGTGGAGGGGAGCTCACAAGTGGAAGACAGAGAGAAGGGAGACAAGGAAAAAAGTCCCCCGACTTCCGTCTCTGATAAAGGGAAACAACAACAGTCCAGATAGGGAGAGAGGGAAAGGAGAATGGGGTGGACGGATAAGGAACTGGCCCTGATCCCTTCAGGGACGCATTTGGTCCGGCCCCGATGGAGGTAGAGCTATCCCCCTTTCCCCCACACCCCTCCCAGACATAATAATGGAAGAGGTACAAGAACCGGCCGCTAAGGAAGCTCAGCAGGAGCAGCAAATCCCGATGGAACAGAAGCTGATCCAACTGGCGAACTGGCTTCTTAGCAGCCTAAAAGATAGACAGGGGCCAGCAACGAAAGAATACTGGGACGCCACGTATCTGAACATCTTTCCTATATTAGACGGCAGTCCCAGCCTCAAGAAGGTGATGATGGAAGGCCTGGCTCCAAGGCTGACATGGTCGGAGGTAGGCACTCGAGTGCTGCACGCCATAGCAGATCTACTGCCGCCCCCACCCCCGAATAAAGGGATGGGTGAGACGACAGAGCATCAAAGGCCCGAGCAGGAGGGGAACACGACGTTCTGTAAGTTGAAGAAGACTGCTTGTGAAAACAACTGAAGATATCATAAGTGAGAATGCTGACATGAGTAACAAAAAATCAGGTGAAAAACATGATCGCCGAAAGTTCAAGGGTTGAAGGAAGGGAAGAAAAAAAGTCAAGTAAAGAATACTGTCGGACCCTTACAAAAGACAATGGATACGAGTATAAATGGGTCCAAAGAACAAAGCAAACAGCAAACACCAAGCACTCCCCCCCCCGCGAGAATCCCAGACCCGAAACAGGCCCGCTGCAGGAGAATGAGCCAGTAAAGAGATGCAGGCTGAGGCAGTGTCTGGAACAGGGAGAGGGGAAGAGTCCCCCTAATCCCGGTGAGAAGAAAGAAAGGCCGATGGGAGGTCACCGTGGACCTCTGCCCAATAGAAAAAGGGAAACAGGGGGGGGCAACACTGAAAGGATGGCCATCCTTCCAAGATTACGATATTGAGGGGGAGCAAGTGTTTCAATTGGACCTAGACAGATTCGTGGAGACACAGTATGAGTTCGGGGTAAAAGCGAAATGAGTGGCAAGGGAAGGAACAACGCAGATGGCACAAAAAGTGGTCTTTGCCCGGTTCAGCGAACGCAAGGAAACCGGGTTGATCAGGCTCTCCCACATGGAGCTCCTGGAAGTACATCAGACAAGAATCAGGGACAGTACCTGTTGGAACGCCCCGAAGGTGACTCACTGTCTATGTTCCCTCCTCAGGCACAATACCCTGCAGGACTCCTCCATCCTCGATAAGGCAGATTGGGTGAAATTAGCCAGCCATGAATAGACTGGAGGTAAGTGAACAACAACAACGCATACGGGACTAGCAATCCACCCAAGGGAAGGACGAGTTGCAAGTATTTTACGGAAAAGATAAGTCTTGGAACAGAGCGACTCATGTGGCAGACCTGGACTTGCGCTTCCATAATGTCAATGACGTAGCATCTGCGAACCCGCAGAAACGAAAGGTGATAATGAAACAAATAAGGGGGGTAGGGGGGAGACAGTGGTCTGACCTTATCAGCATACAAGAAACCCACCTTACAAACTCCCCAAAACATGTCAGAGCCCACAATCTAACTTGGCCACACCAAAAGATTACAGCCCATGCTCCAAGGCCAGGGTCGGCAGGAGTGGCGATCTGGAGATTCCTCTAACTCCCGGGCGGACGTTGTATACTCCGCTGTAGATGCGAGAGAGGGGAGATGGGTAGCTAATCACACTGGAAATAGAAATAGTCTACGTGGTTAGTGTCTATGGTCCGAATGAAGTGGACCTACACAAGGTTTTTTTTGAACACATACGGGCTCAGTTGCCACATGGCATACCGACAATTATTGCAGGGGACTTCAACGCAGCCCCGGACCGTAGCCTTGACAGGTGGAGGATCCCCACCCCATGTCCGGGATACATAAAGGAGGACGAAGGAGTCATTCGCAAACTCTGTGAAGAAGAGCATCTTTTTGACTCCTTCAGGCGATTACACCCATGCAGGAGGTTGTTCACGTGCATACGGAACAGTGGCACGCCAGCACGGTCCAGGTCAAGAATAGATCTCATACTTATGGCGGAGGGTTTGGATAGGGTGCTGCAAGCTGCAACCATCTTCCCGTCGAACTTGTCGTCGGGTGCGGATCATAAAATGTGTGCAGTACTACTCAGGTTCCGCAAAAAAACAGATCAAGGGCCAGACTTTTATAAGCTCAATACATCTATCATAAAACTGCGCCAATTCCACTCCTATCTTTGAGACGTATGGGAGTACTGGCGTTCTAAAAGGGACGAACATGCCTCATATATTGCATGGTTCAACAACGGGTTGGCCTTCATGGCCAGAAAATGCAACGAATTTTCAAAAATACATGCCAAAGAAAAATATTCCCAAGAAATTAGTATTCAAGAGGAGATCCACAACCTTGAACAGGAAAGCAGTCTACCACTGCCATTTGGGGCGTTATCAGAGGGGGGGTCATCTTCCATGGTCTTTGGAAGGCGAGGGGGTCGAGGGGGGGCGTGGGGGGGAGGTATGAGCAAAGGATAATGGACATTTATGGGAGCGGGTGGCGACGTCCGGGGAGGGGGGAAGGGGGCAAGGGGGGCAGAGCTCATTCGGGGGGTAGGGAGGGTAGGGAAGGGAGTAGATGAAGTAGAGAAAGGAGTGGAAGGATAGAAATGAAAGAAACGCTAAAAAGACGTGAGGAGACGTCCCAGTCACCGCCTTGGTTTCCATTATCTACTTCGACTGTAACCAAAACACTCCGTTCGGCCAGCGAGCAACACCTAGCACAAAGAAGAGGCAACAACTGCTAGCAAGAAACAGGGAGAAGAAGCAGATAGTGCATGTAATCAGCGATGTGAAGCCCCTCGAAGAGGCGTGCAAAAATACTTTCTCGGAGCGGCAGGCGGAAAAAAACAGGCTGGCCATGGCGAGATTGGGGAGTAACGCAAGGAGAAGCAGCAGACCCAGGCACGCGCTAAGCGCAAGTGTGAAAGAGCAAAGGCAGGGCATGGCGGATTCGGCTGGACACGATGCGTTGGACTGCATGGCGCCAAGTTGAGTTGTGGTCAAGGAAAAACCGAGTGGGCCTCACGTCAGGAGTGCTACCACTTCCTCCACTTCTTGCTGCCCCTCCTCTTGGTCCCAATCAGCGAAAAAATCCATGCCGCCTATCGCCACGTCAAGCTCCTGCAGAAACCGGAACGCCCTGTGCCTAACTTGCCGTCAGAACAGGTTATTGCATTGAGGACCGATGAATAGTACCGCCAACGCCCCGTTCTAATATAGCTACCGTCCCTCCGGGAATAGCAAACTTCTGACCCAAGCCTACTTTCCCATCCACCCGTTTAATGCCTTAATCCGTCGGCTCAAAAAACAAAAAACAAAAAACAAAAAAATAAAAAAACAAAAAAACAAAAACAAGAAAGCAACAAAAAAAAAAAAAAGGAAAGGAAAAAGGAAGAAGCCAAAACAATTCGGCCCTGGGAGGTTCTCGTACCGTCAAATCCTTATTCTGTCCAGATTTGAGAGTGAGTTACTCTCAACTGTGTCTTGTCATGCCTATCAAAGCCGGGGGGGCAGTTCCCCAAGGTTCGAGTGATGTCCCAATCCCATCGAAGGGGGGATAGGAGATGCAAAGCGTGCATTATTACTTACCATTACAAACAACAAAAAGGAAAAAGTAAAAAGTAAAAAGCTGGTGTCGCAAAAAAAAAACGGGTGTCGGGAAAGGAAAACCGAAAAAAAGGAAAAAGGAAAAGAAGAGGAAAAATAAAAAAAGAAAAAAAGGAAAAAGAAAAAAGAAAAAAGAAAAAAGAAACACGAGAAAAGAGAGAAAGAAAGAAGGAAAAAGACAGGAAAAAAAAAAAATCTCCTTCATGCGAGGTGAGTCGCCCCAACTTCAGTTGTTCGCCTGTCCATCCATCGCCTATACACCGATATGTGTGTGTGTATGTGTGTGTGTGTGTGTGCGTGTGTGGCCCACCCCATTCCCTCCGAGGGGTAACTCGGCCGAGGAGGTCGACTGTCCGGAGAACAACCGGCCCTTTCGGCCCAGTCATCCCCCGAACACCGTACACACATACACAAACATAAACACGACAGTTAGCCAGTAATCCCGTGCAGGTTGGTCATTGCTTCCCTAATCATGTGTACAAACAATCTACCCGGTTGATAGAGGTAGGCGTTCTGAAGGGTCTTCTTGACCACTTTCCAACAGGCGTTCACAACGAAACCATTGCCCCTCATTGCCGCTACCACCTTTGCAATCTCATTCGCTGCATCCTCTGGCTCCGAGCAGAGCAGGAAAATTTGAGCCACTTGCGCCGTAATGATCTGGAGCGACTGCTTGACACTCCTGTTGGATCGAAACTTCATGAACCTGCAAGGAGAAAAAACAAGCCCTGTGCACTTGTCGTGCCTAGTGGTAGAGTAGGATCCCGTGATCGGGGAGGTGACCGTCATGGTCATATTGAGAAAATTGGCGATCCGACCAAGCCCTTCTTCATTCAGTTCCGTATTCTCCTTGATCTTGATGAATTCCTCCGGATAGATCCAACAGGGATCATCCACCTGCCTCTCCCCTTTCTTGCGCAGAAAGCTACTGACAACGGCGTTGTTGATCGCTCCAAGGTCGGGGATGTACCTGAAGGTGCTACCAAAGCATGGGAACAAATGGGTATTCCCCGTATCCACCAGCCGCATCATGGCGTGATATTCATACTTAAAAAAGTATATATCACACCAGATCGGGGAGCATGCCAGTCCCACGGGAATCCCCTTCACCTGCCTCCACACGTAATCACCCATGCGTAACACGATGTTGGCAATGCACCAATCTGAGAGCCAACAAATGTCCTCCTCTCTGAACAGTAGCGCGTCCATCTCCTCTGGTTGTTCACTGTCCGTCCCTGATGGCCACATCCCGCCGCTACCCCCGAACTTAATATGAATGGCGTGGCTAGAAATCCTTTCCCTCCTAGTTTGCATCATACATTGTACGTAGAACCTGACCGCAGCTGGGAGACTGTCTTCCGAGCCATCCGTAGGGATTGTCTCGAAAATCTGGTAATATCGACTGTAAACACGGAGTAGACTTTCTCTGGCAGATTACCACAAAATTCTCCAACCGAGGCTATGGCCCACCATAGGTTCGGCCTGACTCCATGCTGTTCCTCCACCTCCAGGCTTCTCTCTTGACAAAAGGTCTGCGCCATCAGGAGCAGGAATTTAACAAGCAGACACAGACCTCTGCTGCAGGAGAGATGATGGTATTGGCAATGTTCATAATCCAGCGGAAAGTTCCCTTCGGAACCGTCATGAGATATGGGAGCACTGCCGGCACAGGGAGCGCAGGCAAAGCAAAGAGTTCGCCACGTATGCGCGAGATGACCGACGTAGGTGGTGCGTTAATGCTGGCGAATTCAGGGCCGGACAACCTCTGGAAAGCCAGCTTCCGTATGAAGTTATTGCAAATGAAGGCTGGAGTGTTGGGAGCCTTATCCGTTGGACAGATGAGGAATCTGCCCGTTAAGAACTGCAGCTCCCGTTTTACAGCAGGATGCTCGAACGGTTCCGCAGTAGCATGTCTGTGTGCCGTTCTGTACTTCTCCATTCTTCCCCTCCCCTTCTTTAAGATGATTTTACGAAGAAATGCTTTGGTGGAGTCAGTAAGGTCGCGCAGCTCCATCACCTGTGCGAAAAGCTTGTCCAGAAAATTCCCCAGTTCGTTGATCGCCTAATCCACATCCAGAGCCATGCATGGGATATGGTCGAGGCCTGCTCTGATGATGCCCTGCAACAATGGGTTGTCCGTGATCGATGAGTCTACTGTGATGACATGCGTGCAGCCTTCATTCCAGAGCAGCTCGATTGAGCAATTGACGCGCATGTTCGAGTACCTCCGCGTCCTGCACGGACATTGCTCCGGATCGTAGCTCTCCATCCATTGCGATACGTCGAAATCGCAGAACGCCTCCGCCGGTTTGCATAGTTTGGAGGCTATGTTAGAGTTATAGGTCCATCCGATCCGAGTGCACTCCAACCAGGTCGCCGTGTCATCCCCAACCACCCTGTTGAGCACCTCGTTCACCAATCTCCTAATGGACAGTGGTTCCATCACGGGGCTGGTGTACTTTAGATGCAGAAAAGTGTCACACTCAGATCTTTGCCTCTTCCATGACCTCCTGCCATTCGGTAGGGTGATCATCTGGTCGGGGGCGTTCACCCACTTGTCCGGATCCTGCGCTCCGATACACAAGTACAAGACATGGAGTGTGTCGGGGGGGAAAAAAACGCCACGGGTGCTGTGATGAAGAAACATACCAAAAAGTAATCGAGAAAAGTAATCGAAAAAGATGAATAATCGGGATAGATAAAAAAGCCAAGGAGTGTAAAACCAGGACAACAGGAAAAACGGAGGGGAAGGGGGGGAGAGAGAGAGAGAAAGAAAGAGAGGGAGAGGCAGGAGGGAGAGAGAGAGAGGAGTGGAATTACATTGCCAGCCTAAGCCCTCGCAATGCGTCTGCTAGGGGGGGCAGTATCGCTCCTCCCACCGCCTCTACCGCATGCGTTCTTCTTCTTTCTCCTCCCAGGCTGAGTGAGCGTTGATTGAGCAGAGTCCCCCGACGAAATGTGGATTACCGGCGGAGGAGTGAGTCCCCTGATAACCATCAAAGGGTGCTGAACGGAGGGGAGTGGGGAGGTGAGAGCAGACATCCATGTGGTCGGTGGTGGGGCTGACTGCTGCACCCCCAATGGGGGCGTATTGATAGTAGAATTCCCCGTTTGGGGTCCGCCACCCACTAGTTCGACACCGGTAGCCATCGTCATAGGTAGCCGTTGGAGGGAGGAGGAGGAGAGGGAGGAGGGGGAGGAGGAGGAGGAGGGGGAGGAGGAGGAGGAGGAGGGGGAGGTGGGGGAGGGGCGTCATTTGCAGGTTGGGCCCTCCTAAAATTGAGAGTTGTCTGTCCCGGAATCTGCGCTCCACCGCTCCTTTTTCGCACCGCGGCCCGCAGAGAGCTGAGTGGGACTCTCGTTGGCCTTTCGGGAATCTGGGTGGGGAGCATGATGCGTGCGAGGGTTGCTGGGATCGGGTAGTTCCAGAGGCGGTCCTCCTTCAGCACGCCTTCTGTATTTAGGGTTTCATCCTTCTCGAGCTCTTTTACGAAACCTAACGTCAGGTCCCTGAGGAAGTGGAAACTAATGGCCGCTAGTACCCCATCCCTCCATGTGGTCCTGAGATAGTGAATGAGCATTGATGTGCGCACCTTGATCGAGGACATGGTCGGAAAAAGGATGTCCGGATGTGCCATTAGGTACCAGATAGCATGATCGAACCAGAGAGGGGTATCTCCGCAGTCCTTGCTTCTTATCTTTTTGCATTTGCATTTTAGGTATCGTCTCCCTACATTCCATATCTTCCTCAAGGTCCTCAGATCAGCCTTCCCTTCTTGCCTGATGCCTTTCTGCCACGTCCCTGAATTAGTCTCCCCACATTTGTCAGGATCCAGTTCGCGCATGGGGGGAAACTTCAGATCCTGAGGATCCAACGGATTGACCCTGCCACAATATTTCAACTTTCCCTTTAATATCTGCGTCTTACATTGCTTGACCTGTTCATCAGTAACGTTTCCTAGAAACTGGAGCGCCCGGATGGAGATCGACGCAAGATGGTTGAAGGTACCCATCTTCCATATCGCGTGCCTAAACCTCGTGGACGTGTGCTCGATCCAACACGCAAATGCAAGAGGCGCGAATGCAGTGTACTGGTCGCGTTCGGAGGCATCACCTCCCTTCCTACTTGTCATGAGTGTGGAGTGCTGGATGATGGCCGTGATGGCAGCGATTGCGCGCTCCATCTCAACCCTCTCTTCTTCTTCAATCGCGAGATCGTCACAACGTGTCGTAGGGGTGCCCTCAGAGTTAGGGGAATTACTAGCGCGGGTTACGGGCACACGACCTGCCAGGTGGGAATCATCCACACCCCAGATCTTGAGGAGGATCTGTTCGACCTTCGCAGATCTACCCCCGAGCTCTCGACATTCCTTCATATATTTCTGTTTTCTCAATTCGAGTTTCTCGCACAGGACCCCAAGCTCGTCATCGAAGTCATTCCCATTTCGTTCCCACGCACCCGCAAGAACGGCAAGATCGCTAAAGCCTATCATCTAAAAAAAATGGGGGTAGCGTCCGTAGTCCCATTTCTCCTTGATTGCGCCGATGACCCCTAGGTTGACACAGGTAAGTAGTGCTTGCGTAGGCCTCGTGGGGGGAGCGCATTCCTTCAGCCATGGGAAACAGTGCGTGATCTCGTTCCACCAACCCCCGGGGAATGCCTCCTTGGGGGGAGGCTGCAAGCGAAAATGACAAAAAATGGATCGACAAAGGGCGAGACCAGAAAAACGCCTCCAAGAGGAGAAAAACGACATGGTGTATAAAAAATTACAGTACACAAAATACAAATAAAAATAACAATAGAAAAATTAAAATTAAAATTAAAATTTAAGTTTAAAATTTAAAAAATTAAAAAAATGAACGAAGAAGAGGAGGAGGTCGGGAGGGAGGTCGGGAGGGAAAAAAAGTGGATGCTGCTGGGAGGAAGTGGCTAAAAGGGTCGTCATGGGCGGAAGTCGATGGAAGAGGAACACAAATGAGAGAAGGGGGG